GGGGTTCTGGTTTTATGCCTGTGGTGATGATCACCAAAGCGGTGACCGTGGTGATCGATCCGCCTAATCCCTCCTTGCCGGACCATGCTACGTTGGTCCATGCTAGAACAAATGGCTGTGGATGCTGGGGAGGCACAAAATAGTTCTACAGACTTCATTTTTTGTACAGGAACAGAAATGTCAAAACTGGTGAGCTATGGACAGAGGAAGAGACTATGAGAACTGAGAAAGATTTCTTCAAAACGATGCCAATTGATGTGGTTATAAAGTAGTAGATGCAAGAGGGGAAGAGATAGAAAAGTAAAAGAAGCAGGACAGGGGTCCCCAGCAAGCAGAATTGTGCGAATTAACAAATCCAAACCTTAGAGGATACGGGATTTATCTAGACCTTCAAAAGTTGGTAGTCTGGTAGCTTTTTGTATTTGAGCGGGAGGGTAAGAAGTGAGAAGTCAGAACAAGGTGTAAAAGGGGAAATGCTGACCACTAAGCCCAGAGTGAGAGTGCAATTGAGGGTAGGCCGCAAAACTGTTACAAGTTTGAAAACTTACTAGCCTTATTATTGCCATATCATTACTCCATAGCTGAAAGTTGAAAAACTAGCGTGAGCTTGTCTGATTTCAGTATAAGGCCATAGCAACAAGACAGCAAAGTCATCTCATGTTAACCGAAAGCAGCCTTTTCTAGTCTCTTCGATGTCCGTTCCTTAGCTAAGTGTGGTTGATTCTAAAAAAGTTTTCTAGCAGCGAAAAACACAAAATCCCGTCTGTTTGAAGTGTGTTTATTTCTGATTTCTTGCTTCCTCGTTGGATGATCTCGTTTATATCAGTAGGATATACAAGTCCTTTCATCTGTAGCGTAACTAGTTATACTGTGCCTGAAATTTCTCGTCTAGAGCCCTTCTTTTTCCCCCTTCCGGCGACTAACAGTAGCCAGCATCACCAGCTAAACGTATTATTGGCTAGGTCTTGAATTTACCAAAGATGCGAAATTGATACAAGTTTATAAAGATTTTACCTGCGAAAATGAGAAATTTTAGTTCTAGAATCAGTAAACGTACATGAAATCTTCAAAATTCTAGTACAAACCCTTTTCAAGCCAATCTCCTATACCTTCTAATTTTGACCATAACCTTCAGTTAAATAAAGCTCGCTAAAACTACTGCAACATGTGGCACCGATGCATAACCAGCCAGCATGATCCAACACAAATTGGTGGCCATTTTGGCTTTGGCGAAACTATCCTTGTTTTTCTTTTTTAATTCTGATGCTCGCCAGCAGTTTTTTTGTTTTCGCATACCATGTTGCAAGAGAATTATAACACAGGAATTCAGTGATTAATACTACTATCATTTATCTAAGGTTCACGAGCCTGAAAGAAAAATTGTCTTCACGTAGAATCCATCCAATGGAATCTTAATTCAAGGAAGCAAATTTGATTGGCTGTCACTGTATTACCGCACTATTAGCAAGCATTCCTAGAATTTAGCGCTGATTATGTTAAACAAATCAAGCCAAAGTGACTTTAACAGAGTTGTTAAGACCCGGATTGGGACCCAAATTTCAGGAATATGATAGGAGGAGGCAAATCCGTGGTCAAAATTAGCAACAAAATCGTGACAAATCGCTAAAGATTAAGACAAAGGACGATGAGGCAAGGGGCCCCCGGACATGAAATGAAACTCATACTGCTCCTAAACAGTTGAGCACGTGAAATTGTACCTCTGGGTACTTGTACCAAGGATTTCTTCCAAACTACTCTTTGCCGGGAAATAATTAATTTTACTGGATAAAAATGCCTACCTACCTACCTGAATTTGCTATTAACTCGATCTCTAATTTTCATTGAATATTTTGGTGTTAGCTTCCTCAATTGAAGAAAAGTATTTAGTGCTAGAGGATGATAGTAGTTGATTCAATCAGGGCTCCCCAAAACAAAAAATAATAAAAGTTGATTAGAGCCATTAATTCTGTAATGCCAGTCCATTATTTTCTTCCTTACTATTGCTGAAGTTGTGATCCTAAGAAAACTAGAAAATGAAAGTGAGACGTTAGTATGATCTGATTTCTTTTCTTTTTTTTTTTTTCTTTTTTTGACCATTTCGTTCTAGTAAAGGGCAAAATAAAATGTGCTTTTTAACAAGGACTTATTAAGGGTTAATGATGAATATGGCACCCACTGTAATTACAACCTAGGATTCGTTAAAGAGAGCCGGCACACGTACAGGAAAATGAAATCACAATCCACAATGGAAAAATCATCCCCTTCTCACGCAGTGCATGCTTCAAGATAGATTTGGCATCATATCATGTAGGAAGTTGCTGTTGTTCACTTTTCTTTCGAATTCGCTCTCTTTTTTCCTTCCTTTTTCTGGTGCTGGTTTGTTAATTACGTCTTTTAATCAATCAAATTACAATTTTCAAACTGCTGACAAGGCTTGAATCTAGCTGGTTTCACATATAATTGCACTCAGAAGATAATGGCCATGTAAACCCCCCACACTTTACGGTTGGAGCAAATGGGAGCAATGATTACACTTTTTCGTGAAATGGCTGAAATGAGTCCCCTTTTGGCAGGTCGAATTCCTTTTTGTCAAATGTTAAGTGGATATTAAAGGCAGATACTATCATAATTACTCACTGATAATGCTTACTGATTAGTTAGAATGACAGCATCAAGTTGACTAAAGTGAAGAATTTTAACTAACTAGCACTAAGCAGCCTTTAACTGCCCTTTAGAATTGATCTAAACTTTTCTGTGCGCCATTTATCATGATTATTACAATGAAGGTCTGTACTTGTTTCCAGTTCCACTCAGTTGGGCTGAAAAGGAAATGATTATTGAAGAATATTTTTCGCCAAAAAAAAAAAAAATTTTCCACTATACATATATAGAGACTGGAGAGTTGCTTTAAAGAATTTTGTTACAGTGGTTCCATGTCTGAATGGTTTTTTCTTTCTAAATGAAAAATTAAATTTCATGGGATCCAAAACGATAGAAACTCTAGTACACATGCATTTTACACTTTTCCTTTAAAGAAAAAAATCTTTTCCTGTTACGACTTTATCCATTGTTCCCTGAATTCGTTGTGTGGGTCTTACTCAAAGCTATTGTTTTATTGACATGCGCTTAAAGAGGTGGGGCTTTGATTTTAGTGGAAGGATTAGTTTAATTGTGGTGGCTTTAGTTATTTTCACTTTTATCTTCGCCTAAACATAGTTCTTCTGCTAGCTTTCTTTGTACTCCTTGCTAATTGATTTTATTGAGTTGGTTACGTGCTTGCTTGATCTGCAATGCAGTGTGCCAGAATTAGCTTTTCTTTTCCTGCGTATGTCTCGGAGAACCAACATTATAAAAAGAAGATAACTTTCCATCTCATATTCCTTTGATCCCTGATGATGATTTTGAGTCTGTATATATATATGTGCCATGTTGTGCCTTCAGTCAATCCTGGATCTTACGAGAAAAAGAAACCCTTTTGTTTGCCGGATGTTGGGGGAGCTTTTGCTTTGAATAAAAGGCTTGTGTGTTTCATCCCCAGATAAATATGCTGTTTTCACGGGCAAATTTTGAAGAGTGCATCCCAAATAAAAAGCACTGCGTCGGAAAGTTGGCTGCTTCTTATTGTCCTGTCCTCATAGCTAGGAGAAGAAACGTTTTTCTTGCTTCAGAATTGAAACCCAGTAATATATAGTTCAAGCAACCAATGACAGAGAACTAAGTTAATCCTTAGTTGGGCTTGTAACCTCAAACTACTTTCAGTGCGTTAAACCGTGATCATCAGATTATGTTGCTGCTAAGGCAATATGATGTTCCGTTTTGTTGTATTCTTTATTGGTGAATCCAATGAGCGGATCAAGGGAAAGAACGACAAAGTTCTAGTTATGCGGGCCAAAATTCACTAATATTTCCTCGTGCAGAAAAGATTTATGATGCATGGCCTGAAGTGAGACCATGGAATACAACTTGTAGATGCCATATACCTTGAGAGTGGCAACTTGTAGAACAAAGGGAGGACAAACACATTGGATTAACCACAGCAATAAGTTGTATTATTGTCTTTTAATTAGGCAACAAAAATGTATTACATGCTCACTTGCATACTTTTGTTGTTTTCCTTTTTTTTAAGGGAATCTAACAGATAATTCTTTTTTTTTTTTAATTTTAAGGTAGATGCATATACTTTGAGAGTGATTTTTTTTTTTAAAAAAACTTTTGGAATGATTTTTAAAATAATTAACCGAATTTGACTTGACATATCAACTTTTACATGTAATGTACCACTTTTTTTTTTTTTTTTTTTTGGATTTACATACTTTTACCACCCGTTTGGTTCCTGCTAAGGAATCGCAATGACTTTGACTCCTCAATAGTAATGGGTTTGTGTAGGATGATTCCCTTTGACAAAGAATGAAGTATTTGCATTGGATTAAAAATCAACTTTTTTTCTTCTTTTTTCTTTTTGTCTTATCGTTTTCATGCTTTCAGTTCCGTTGTCTGCTCTCACCAACTGCTGGTGATGGATATCTCAACAACCTCCATTGATCAACCTTAAATTTCGAAAGATAATCTCATTATTTTGATCTAATCCACAGTCAACCAAAACAAAAAAAATAATCTGCTGTGAGTCAGGCTTGAATTAGCCCAGCTTCAAATTCCGAAATTAGTGCTAAAGTGCACAATTTAGTCGGTAATGGCTATTGGCAACTTTTGGGTCTTACATAGTGGTAGCTGTATACCTATAGATACCAACCAAGCACCAGATATGGTTTTTGAGAGCTTGAAACCCATTGAATAGTGGTGATTACCCTGTACCAAACGGGCGGTAACAGTTTTTATTCCAAGCATTACAGGAGTAAAGCGAAAAAGGAGCATCATAAGTGGAAAAGAAACCTCAAACCGTATTTAGCTAAGCTGGGACTACTTGGCCCAACCCAATACATCCTGAGCAATCGAAGACTGACTTCTCCAAATTTGGCCCATCCCAAGTACCTCTAGCACGTGCGCCATTAGTGAGCCCGTACAGGGAAGCCAGAAAGTCAGTCACATAGCTGAGGGATATCATCATCACAGAACTAGGGTTTTTCCGCCTTGCTCATATCTGCTGTCTCTCTGTCACACACACACACACACAGAGGTGAGGGATACGAGACGGCGCCATGGGTAAGTTTTGATTCCAAATCATTCTGTTGTATTTCTGTTCCAATTATTCGGAAAACTATTTTATTTGTGTATTTCGCAATTAATTTGATATATCATCTATTTTTTTTGCGAAAATGTTTATGGGAAAACAGCCCGGATCAAGGTTCATGAGCTGAGGCAGAAAAACAAAGCCGAGCTTTTGGCTCAGTTGAAGGATCTAAAAGCCGAATTGGCTCTCCTCCGAGTCGCTAAAGTCACCGGCGGCGCCGCCAACAAGCTTTCCAAGATGTACGCTCTTTTAAGTTTCATCTTCTACTTTTTTTGTTTTTTTTGTTCAACATTTTATTTTATGTAGTGATGAAGTTTAGGTGAGAAGAGAGTATTGAAAAAGATAAATATTGTTAATTTGTTGCAGAAAGGTAGTTAGGTTGTCAATAGCGCAGGTGCTGACGGTGATTTCTCAGAAGCAGAAGGCAGCATTGAGGGAGGTTTACAAGAACAAGAAGTATTTGCCTCTTGACCTCCGCCCTAAGAAGACCAGAGCTATCCGCCGTCGCCTCACCAAACACCAGGTACGCTACTGTTTTCATTCAATTTTTGTCCTTTTTTCTTTCTGAACGTGTACTCATCTGAATCTTTGGTGTTGATTTTCATGGGTTTCTAGATTTTAGTTTTATGTCTAATTGTTGTTTGATTAATCTCTCTGAATGAATCTTTGTGTGATAATTGCCTCAAATTTGAAAAATTTGCATTTTGCGGCTTTGCTCCTGGTAATTTAACAAGGATAGGATATTTTTGCTGAGGATTAGGCAGAATGTCCCTTCTTTTAAGTCCGGGCATGAGGGGCGGGTTTGGCTAAGATGGGATAATGAAAATGTATTAGACCGTAAATGGTGGGATGCAACCAAGGAGGATGTAAGGTAGTGATCCATGGTCTCCTGTGTGTTAGTCTGCAGCAACATCTTGTTAACCATCAGATGCCTTGAATCGGAATGCCATTGAGTTGCATGCATTGCCATCGTTAGTGTTGAGTCCCTTGAGTTGGTCCTGTGCTTTATACTTTGATCTCGTTTATGCCAAACGTCTCCAAGTCTCCAAAAATTGAAATTTATGCGTGAATAGTCATAGGCTGGAAATTGATGGGTTAAAACAGAATGCGACTCATCTGGTGATGTTATGCATTTGCACGGTTGGATTACTGAACCTACTGGCGACCTGAATGCCTCCAGTCTTCATCAACCTTTTGATACTCTTGCTAACCAGTTTTCACTTCATATTTTGGTTTTTCCCCTGATGTAGCATACTGCATCATCATTGTAAAGAGTGTGCATCTCATAACAAAGGTGGAATCAAATGAAATAAATATGCATCATTTTCTCAATCAGTTACTTTTGTTTAGCTGTGGTGAACCTTCACTTTGTCTGTTATGGCATTGAGATGAAACTTTAGTGGTGTCTAGATGAGCCTCCTTCTGTCTCCGCCATGACTTGGAGAAAACATCAGCTGCCATTACTAGCTCGATGTATCTGGGCTGGTTGCTCCATAAAATGAGAAACAAAAATTTGCTTTCTAGTTTCTATACATCACGTGTTCTGGTTGGACAACAAAAGCTGCATACCACTGTTGAATAATATTACATTTGTTCCCCTGTACCTTGGACAATATTCAGCATAATATTACTTTTGGCATTTTGGTGTAACATTTATGTGGTTTCCCAGTTGTAAATATGTAAATTCACCATTTATGGCACTTAAGCGCCAGATGCATTTTCTTTCTTGCTGACTTGATTATATTGGATTTTGATGTACTTCAATCAGTTTGTTAAATCTCCTTGCTTGCTATTTTTCAGGCTTCTTTGAAGACAGAAAGACAGAAGAAGAAAGAGACGTACTTTCCCCTGAGGAAATATGCAATTAAGGTTTAGATCGACCATGTTTGGATTTGATTTTGGTGTTTGAACCTGTCTGAACACGAAGAAAATCATATTTTGCTTCATTTCTGTTGCTAGCCTAAGGAATATATGGATCGCTGTGAACAAAGCTTTAAGCATGTTGGTAGCCCATTGTTTATTTAGTCACACATTTTCTCATAGTTTTCTTAGTCACATTTTCTCATAGTTTTCTTGGGGCACGGCTGAAGAGCCATGTTTATGTGGTGGTGTGGTGATGGTAAGGAGCCGTTTTGGTGATTATGCGGAAGATTGAAATTTCTCTAAATTTATTTCATTTTATTTATTTTCTTTTGTGTGAAAAAAAGTGAGAAATTTCAAAATTCTTTTTAGGGAAAAAAAGGAGAAGAAAAGGTAAGGCGAATGAGTTTGAAAGATCCCAATTTTGATAAAGGAATTAAGAAACCTACAGTAAAGGGTAATCATTTCAATTAACGCATTCCAATAGACATTTAACGAACAGACACGGTGTGGGTATCATTGCATTAGATAGCCATTAATGTGCTTGAAATCCATTTACCAAGCGCCCCGGAAGTGGCATTGGTTTTGCTGTCTCCGTGTGTGTACGGATTGATGCTTATTGTCCACCAGATTCATCTATGGGCCATTGTGCATCTGGTTTTACCGACCGAGCACAGAGGCCTTGTTAGAGTCGTATGTTTACTTGGCCCGGCCTGTAAATGTCCTAAATATGTCATGCTTAAATTCCAATCATGAGACAAAAGAAAGAGATACCCGCAATTAAAATTCGATCTTGCTTAGAAAAAGCAGTCAAGAGTCTTAGAGAAAGTGAATTGCATACATGAGAGGAGGATGACACGGTGTCCAAGCAAACGCTAAGCCCAAATTCTGTTCCAAAGCAAGCATAAATTCCAATCTCACCTTACACGGTGCAAAAACCAGAGGCCACCTATGTCCACAAAGTACAAAGATTTTTCGCGCCCAAACTTGGTAAAGTTCTTCAGCTGATCCAGCTATATCGTTGATTTTCCCATATCTAGTCTTGGTCGGCATTCTTCAATACCATTAATATTATTATTATTCATCTTCTAAGTATCCAAATGTTATATGAGCCTGGAAAAGGTCGACATTTTTTCTTTTTGTTTGGGGGGGGGGGGGGGGTCCAAGATCAATTCAAACAAAGGCGGTGGTGGGTTAACAAATTTGTTTTCTAAAAATGACGAAATACAATCTGCCCTTTTCTCCGTTCTCTTCTTGAAAAGCAGACACATGTCTCCTCACCAAAGAATGAATTGGTGTGCTTGTGATTGTTTATTAGACGGCAAATTCTTCCAGCTGCTGACTCCAATTAAAACGGACAACTCATGTCTCCTCAGCAAACCGCCTCAATTAAACGAAAACCACAAGTAAATAGCTTCTTTTTTTTTTGTTTTTTTTTTCCTGTTTCAAAACACAAGTAAATAATTCGGAAGAGTTGTTGATCTATGAGAATGGTTCTAGTTTCTCTCATCCAGAATCCAGCAGGGTTGCCTACTTTTTACTCTCTTTTTCTTTTTTTACGTAATAAACTAAGATAATTATAACACGCTAGTACCTGTGTGATTTTTTTTTTTTTTTTTTTGTCGACTGGGAGTATCCCAGTCATTTCTGACCAGACTAATCCCCCAGGCTGGAAGCAGCCGCCCCAAGGATTCCAGCACGTTACGGGGAAGAGTCGAACACTGGACCTTGCCTCCTAAAGAGGAGACTACAGGACCGCCGAGCTAACCCCGGGGCTAGTACCTGTGTGATTAAGACTGGTCAAAACATATAGATTTTTTCCATTTCTTTATGGCTTACTCGGCCAAGTTTATACCTGATGACTTGAAAGAATTGGGCGAAATTTAAGTAAAGAATATCTGCATTTGTCGGAAAAAAGACACAAGGATTATGAACACACATGCATATACGTATTTTCACCCTAGTCAGTATTGTCTTCTATCATGATACTTGTACTAGTAATTGAACTGAAAATATGACTCATGTTACTAAAATTCTTCGAGAATTTTGCTTTCTTTTTTATCTGAAAAGGGAGGACGAAACATTAATATTAGTTTTAACTGTTAAAAGGTACTGAAGCTTTTAATGGACATACGTACACAGCGACCTTTTCTCTTCTTCTTCTGTAACTCGGTGGTCAACATCATAAAAATAATTCTTTCGCGTTAAAATGAATGTAGCTTGAAAATGAAAATAAGAAACGTCCAAGAATCCATTCAAAAAAGGAAGAAAAAATGAACCAAAAATTAAAAAAATAAAAAGGAAAGATCCATCCCCCATAAATTTATTAAATTTTCCAATGCGAGATTGCGGGAAGGAAAGATCCATTCGCGTATAAATAAAAAAATGATGGCGATACATCGCTCGCTAAACCCTCTTTTCTGGCGTTCATAATTACACACTAAACCCTCCTTTGACATGGCTGCGAAATTTCCACATCTGTTGCCTTTGCAGACTTTTATCTAATACTCGCCAAATTTCTCCCAAAAGCAGTGCTTGAACAAGAAGATGCAATTAATGCAAGTATACTTATTTTTCTCCTTCCCAAATTCATATGCCTTCTGGGTGTCTTCTGATCAGATGACGTTAATTTTTTGATGCCCCAAAAGAAAAGGGTGGTCCATGCATTAGATTCTCCAGCAGGCCGGGCGATAGTACGTGCACCGGCTTATAAAGACGTTTGCGGTCTTGGACGCGTTGATTCAATGAAGAAGGCCAAGTACGTACTTTTGTGCTTTTTACTGCTGGCTTTGATCATGAAAGGGGCTTTGATTAGACTCATGCAAGAGGCAAGAAGGCTACTTAGTCAACAATAATATAATTCGGCAGCCATCCATCTGAAAAACAAAAAAAAGTAAATAAAATGAGAAGGTTAACGACGGAGGGAATACGAGAGTTTTAACATTTAGTGCCATCCGAAGCATGTCAAGTATAATAAATGAATAAATAAATAATTCGAAGCTTACTAGATTATAAAAACTTTGACACTTTCGTAGCTGGCATATTGATGCGATCATTTTGACTTATCAAAAGATGTATTCATCTTGGCAACTACGGGAGCGAGGACTCCTAGCCTGTTTTTGCTTCGATCACAAACTCAAAGATATATTCGAACGCGTTTTCTTGGACACCAGGTCGGCTTGGCTATGGTACCTGCCATTGTCGTATTATACCACAGAAAATTCAGGCAAAAAGAAAAAAAAGAAAAAAGAAAAAAAGGAAAGAAGTCTTGGACAAGACGAACGAGTCTTGGACGCTGAAAACCATCATGTTAAAATTGTAGTCACAATCAATCATGAGTACGATTTTCTCCATTTCTTACTTGTGGATCAACCTCTGTTTAAGTAATCTACTGTGTTGATTAATTATCCATATAAATTTGGACTAAACAGTAAGCTCCACTGTTTTTTTTTCCCCCTCCACCGGTCTGCAAGTCTCCCAAGCTCTCTGCTACTTCTGGAAGAAGCAAGCTAGTTATACTAATTACTTGTCAAACTAGTCTTTCAAAAAAATAAAATCTCTCATTAATTATGGGCGGGTTGATCCAAACTGACAACGTTGTTTTCTTCCCTTCTCCTTAAATGAATGCGTATCCAATAAATCTCCTATGCAGAATAATTGTGCGTATCCAATGAAAATTTTTGTTTCAAAAAAAAAAATTTTATGTACAATAAAAGAATGGTGTACGTACATAGCTAGCGATGATGTTTCTCAGGAACAAACGAAAGCGAAAATGATCACCCAAAAAGCCACATCGCTTGGGGACCTGATAAAACAAGAAAGAAACCGCGTTCACCCAACTCTATATATACATCATCATATGTGTTTCCCCTCCTCTCCTTGGTCATGCAACTTCTTGCTCTCTCTAACTCTTCTTCTGAGTCTCAACTAACCTAGTATTAGTGACCTTCTCAAACTCACAAATCTCTGTTTCCTGGTTCTCTTTGAACAAGAAGATTGCATCAATTTGCACTCGTTTGTACCTCTTGAATACCGTCCACATACAAAGAACCTGAGCTAGATTAAAAAGAAAGAAAGAAATCAGTACAAAGGAAAATGAAGATGAGAAATAAGATTTTCTTGTCTCCATTGATAAGCCCGACATCATCACACAGCTCCTCCCACAGCTCTAAGACTTCCCCACACACTCTCTCCGCAACAATCATGGAGGAAAATGTCGACTGCGCAGAAGTAATCATCAGAAAATGGGACCTCAATGCCACTGATTCCGCTCGTTTATATTCTTCCAACACCCCTTCTCTTTTCGCGCAAGATCACCGCAGTCAAGCCCAGCAGTTCATCAAGTCCGTCAACGACTTGCAATCTGCAATGCACTTCTTCGTCAGTGAGGACCCCGGCTCACCAATGCTCATCCGGGCTCAGAACCTGATGCAAATTGCCATGAAAAGATTAGAGAAGGAATTCTACTCTGTTCTCAAAACCAACATGACCGCTCTCCACCCAGAATCCGTCTCCCTCCGGTCATCCAGTTCGAGGGCCTCCTCCACTTGGTCTGCCTTTTCTGACTTCCAAAATAGAGAAACTTCCGAAGGAGAAGATGATGATGATGAAATTACAACTGATATCGATCAAATTCATATCAAAAGCAACAAAACTGAAAAAGTATACGAAGATGTCATGAGCGACCTCAGAGTTATCGCGAATTGCATGATTAGTTCCGGATACGGAAAAGAATGCACGCATATTTATAATCTTATCCGAAAATCGATAATCGACGAGACTCTGTATTACTTGGGAGTTGAGCAATTGAGCTCCTCGCAACTTCAGAAAATGGCGTGGGATGACATAGAAGTTAAAATAAAGAAGTGGCTGGCTGCCGTCAAGACCGCCGTCAAAACTCTCTTTCACGGCGAAAGAGTTCTCTGCGATCATGTCTTCTGTGCTTCTGAAAAGATCAGAGAGACGTGTTTCACCGAGATTTCCAGAGGTAATGCATTGACGCTGTTCAGCTTTCCCGAAAATGTAGCCAGGTGTAAGAAGATTTTCTCGCCGGAGAAGATGTTCAGGTTTTTGGATATCTACGAGGCTGTTTCCGAGCTCTGGATTGATATTGGAATGATTTTCTCTTTTGATTCGCTCTCTGGAGTTAGAGCTCAAGCGATGACGTCGCTCTTGAAGCTCGGAGAAGCTGTCCGGACGATGCTCTTGCAGTTCGAGTCGGCGATTGAGAAGGACTCCTCGAAGACGGCGGTTCCCGGCGGGGGAGTCCACCGCTCGCTCGTTATGTCATGAATTACTTGGTTTTCCTCACAGATTATAGCGGTGCGTTGGCTGATATCGTCGCCGATTGGCCTACGTCGGTCCAAACGTCGCTGCCGGAGTCTTACTTGTCCAGTCCGATTTCGGCTAACGACGTCGATGACGACTCTCCAGCGTCGACGATCTCCGTCCGGCTGGCATGGATTATCCTTGTTCTCCTCTGTAAACTGGATGGCAAAGCGGGATGCTACGGGGATCACGTGGCGCTTTCCTATTTGTTCCTGGCGAATAACTTGAACTACGTCGTTTCGAAGGTTAAAACCTCGAATCTGATGCCCTTGATGGGGCCCGATTGGGTGTCAAAGCACGAGTCAAAGGGCAAACAGTACTCAGCAAAATACGAAAGGATGGGTTGGGCAAAGGTGCTGACGTCATTGCCCGATGACCCGACGGTGGAGATTTCTTTACCCGAAATAAAGGATTCTTTCAGAAAATTTAATTCGGGTTTTGAAGAGGCATACCGGGTACAGAGTTCGTGGGTCATACCGGATTCGAAGCTCCGGGACCAGATTAAGTTTTCTCTGTCGGAGAAGATGGTTCCGGGTTATCGGGTATTTTATGAGAACCACAGAGAAGAAGTTGGAGATGAATCAATTGTCAGATTTACCCCCGATGACTTGGAGAATTGCTTGTGTGATTTGTTCCAGGGGAGGAGTGAAGGTATGGGGAGTTCGAGAGCGACGTCGTACCGGGTTTCTTCCGTTTCAACGTCACCGTCATCATCATGGACCGGGCATTGACCATCAAATTAGGGGTTAGTCAGATATCATATTATTGGCCTGCTTATACCCTCAAAAAGCAAAAAAGGAAACAGCAAGGTTTAGTATTGGCCGGCCCACGATGGTAAAGGCCCATTTCATTGTAAAGAAATGTCCAAAACGAAAACTGCTTATAGAATTCTTTTGATTGAGCTCGCATACTATGGGGACATGGAAATAAAAAAACATTTTATTCATGCCGTCTTGCGTCGTTTAGTATTCCTTTTCTGTCTCAACTTAGTTCAATTATTAGAGTTCAACTTCGTGTCAGGTAATTTGATTTATATTATCTTTCAACCCTACGTATGCATTAGCTGAAATTATCAACAAATTTAAAATTATGCCTCTTGCAGAAAGTTGTACTTGAAGGCGGTGCCAACATGTGGAGTCTTAATTGGTGATGTTTTTTTCTCTAAAACCATAAGATGATTTATGCGCATGGAGAACAAGTTTCTTTATTTAAAAAAAATAAATAAAAAGAAGAAAATAAAATAAAAACTCTTACCAAGTCATGTTGAATTTTCTTTTTCCCAAATATTAGGAATTTGCATTTGGGAATCAAAGAGCCCATATTAGCGGTGGAAAATGTCAAATCCGCAGGTAGCCCAATCGTTTTGCGGAAACCTGGTTTGAACTACTACGTGGGCTAGGCTAAAGGACCTCTAGAGTGGGCTGATCCTAGTCGGCTGTTGTCGTTGGTCTAGGTTAGGTGAACAAAGGTACAACACCGATCTCACATGAAACTTGGGAGGAGCAACGGCCCAATTGATGCTTGCATTAAGTTTTTTTTTTTTTTTTAAGTTATGCTTACAATTTTCAACTACGACAAACTTTTAACAGAGTCAATTATGACAACGGATCTGAAATTATTTCAGGAATTACTCAGTGGGTGTGTCCACCTCGGCATTATATATATATATTTATATATATATGCATTATTCTGGAATTAAATATGTGGGTTCTACAAGGGGAGTCAACTTGATCAATAAATGTAACAGCAAAGGTAATTCACAGTTTATACATATTTGAATACTATATATGGGTCATCATGAATTCAACAAAGGTATAAATTCAAAATTAAGAAATGTGGATTTAGACTTAATTAATGGGGTAAGAAAAATGAGCATCTAGTAATGAAGTTACTGTGGGGATTTAGACTTAATTACCGGCTTTTGAAGTTACTGTGGGGATTAGGTTTATTTACGTAAGTTCTTAATTCAGTAAGAAAATGTCAGAAAGATAGTAATGACTGATATAGTAAGTTTTCTGCGTTTTAGATGAAAGCTATTATAGAATTTATAGATCCAAGCGCACACGGTACCAAATTTGTACGTAGCTAATTCTACCATAAGCACCAATTTCTTGTGTGTCTCCTCAACCAACAAGAAGGATCTTTTGCATAATTTGTGTCTGTATGTGTGTGTGTGTGTGTGTGTTTTTTTTTTTTTTTGTGGGTTTGGGGGGTTGGGGGGGAAGAACTAAAGTAGTACGTACTCTTAATTGACTTCAAGTGATGGTTGGGGCAAATTAAGGACTAGCTAATAAGTGCTGGCATTTAATTATATATCTACACATTGATAAACGAAGTTGACTTGAAGGTTGCTACTTTATTATTATTATTATTAATTATTATTTTCCAAAAGCGGCAGATGTACTTGAAGGCTGTTACTTTCAATGCTGAAATTTCGCTGGCTAAGGGCTTCACGTCAACGTAAGTTTGATGAGCAATAATTCTTAGCGCTTTCGTTTTCATTTGAATTGTGAATGAAATTACACCTTCGCAGCAAAACATTGTGGGGAAAAAAATGTCGAAATTTCGTTTTTTTTTTTTACATTGATAACGAACATAAAAAAAGTAATATTAGTGAAGTAGAGAAATTAAGAAATTAATCATTTGAATTGATAAAAGGGTTTTCGATCATCGAGTAGCATAAGGTTGTTTGAGCCATGTCTGCAATCCAATTGAGTTTCGGCCATTGAATAGCCAACGAAACTGGTTTCCCTCCCGCTGTACTAATAATTAAGCCACAAGGGGCGGCTCCAACTGTGGCCTAGGTTGGACTGCGACCAAAAACAAGTAGTGTGTTTGATTATTATCGTTCAATCTAGTTAGAGATCCTCATAAGTCATCACAATTAATTCATCTGTAAGTGGCAATCTAGTTAGAAGTTAAGGGTGACGCCACATTGTATGTGTTCTCTTTGGATAAGCTAATCAACATCTAATGCTAATCAACTATATATGGCTTTCCAAATTGGTGAATTACTTCAGTCATCCATCAATCACATTATTTTTTATATATATGCTTTGAGATACATTCTGCTGATAAGAGTAGGGGAGGGAGGGGAATAGGGATGCACCCAAGAGGGAGGGATTTTTTTTGTCCCTTCTAATCGTACGCGCCCAACTGAGCTCTCAGTTGGTTAAGAAGTGAAGTCAATGCTGATTGTGGCGCGGACGCTATAAATGAAATGCTGACCTTGGAAAACCTAATCCTCTTCATTTCTTCTACATATCATTATGAGACTAATACATCAACTCGTAGCCACTAGGGACCAGCATTAGATTGGGAGTGGTCCACACGCACGGACGTTTGCGTTTGGCTAAGAACTGGCTTCTTGAGCTCCCGTAGGGTGGCTAACCTTGTGTTTTTTCTTTTTCTTTGCTTGGTGCAAAATAGTAGTTGCATACATAAATAAAGTCAGACATCTATTCACTTCTCGGTAGGCATGTCGAATCCTAGCTTGTTGGAGGTATATATGAAAGGAGGGATCTGCAGTCCAGCGTGCAAATAATGATCAGAAATTTCATGTAAGGATATAATGAGTGTGTTTGGATTGTAAGTTATGTGAAATATTTTTACTGTAGCACTTTTTGTGATGTGATGTATGTGAGATAAAAAGGTAATTGGGAAGATAAAAAGGTGTATTGGAAATTGTAATGGTGATGTCAGCAAATATATTTGGCCAAATAATTGGCTGTCCAAACACGCTCAATAATATCAGTACATCTACTTCGGTGGCAGCTTCAATGAGAGTGGCTGTCCTTGGTGAATATTTTTCACAGACTCTCTTGATATCAGGAAATTTCTCCTTCACACATCTGGCTGCAAAATATTGTCACATATCTAACCCTTTTCTGCCTCTTTAGTTTCCATAGGGATAGTGAAATATACCTAGGTAGTTTTTTTTTTTGAGAGGAATACCTTGGTTTTTTCCTAATTCTTGTTCACGCAAATTAATTTCAGGGTTCCTAAGATAAGAGAGCTTTGAGTCAATTTGTCAACAGTGATCTTCAAAATTTTTTTGGCTTTATGGCTCCATCGACCTGCCCTTGCCAGTCTTAAAAGTAAGCAAGTGTACACCGACCGTACTGCAACATTATGGTATCTCCATTAAGGTCGTGTACAGAAAAGGAGGATGGCCAATTAATTTCAAGAAATTTGTTATTCTTTTACAACCAAACTTCAAAACGAAATTGATTGAGGAAATGCTGGTAGACCCGTAAGAAATACAACGTACTGTTGAGGTTACAGCTAGAAATTCCTGGGGAACTTGCTTGCAGTTATGGTAAGAAATATCAAGTTCACTGCAAGTATGATCATAAGGCATGGTGGATGTAAGAGACTGCGTCACATAGCAAATTCTTTTCATTTATGGTGATGAAGTTAATTAGGAGACTGCAAAGACATCTAATAGGGGTCTTAATCTCAGATTAGTACATACTTAAGGCATGACTATTGCCCATTTTAATGACAAAAAGATTGTTAGGGAAGTCACGCATCGATCGGGTGTTGTTGGGGGTTGAGAGATAAGGGTGGTTTAAAGCAAAGTCACATGTGTACATGTTGGACGCCTTTTTATTCAAGCGTTTGATCTAAATTTCTCATCAGTAATCCTGAGCTTCTAAACTTCAACACCTCCTCCTCCTCCCCCCTCTTCTCCTCTCTCTGGTTTTCTCTTTTTCACTTAACCTTAGTTTTCCCATATTTCTCATGGATGTTTACTTCATGTTGTTATACTGTCTTCCTCTCTTTTATTTCTTCCTCTTTCTCGTGAAAATTATTGATCGATGAGAACCAGTCTTGTTACATATTAGACTATGAATGCTACAAACCAACCGATGATAGAATGCTCAGCACTCGGTTCTGTGGTGAACTCATAAGAAGAAACAAGAACCTCGGCCTCCTCGAGTACAAATTCCTCTTGAAAGCCATTGTTAGCTCCGGCATTGGTGAACAAACATATGCACCAAGAATGGTCTTCCACAATAGAGAAGAGTGCCCTACTCAAGATGATGGGATCGAAGAGATGGAGGAATTTTTCTATGATTGCATTGACAAAGTTTTGAAGAGGAACGGCATTTCGCCGTCCGAGATTGATGTGCTAGTGGTGAATATTTCCATGTTAGCTGCGGTCCCATCTCTATCAGCTAGAATTGTCAACCATTATAAGATGAGGGACAACATCAAGACCTACAATCTCACTGGTATGGGATGCAGTGCAAGTCTGATATCGGTCAACATTGTCCAGAACATATTCAAGACACAAAAGAATTTGTATGCCCTTGTCATAACATCAGAGTCGTTGAGTCCTAATTGGTATCCAGGAAATGACAGATCCATGATACTAGCAAACTGTTTGTTCAGATCAGGCGGTTGTGCGATTCTTTTGACTAATAAGGTGGCTTTGAGGAACAAAGCCATGTTTAAATTGAAATGTCTAGTGAGAACTCATCATGGAGCAAGGGATGAAGCCTATGATTGTTGCATACAGAAGGAGGATGATCAAGGCCGCGTAGGGTTTCACCTCGGCAAGAATTTGCCAAAGGCAGCCACACGTGCTTTCGTCGATAATTTGAAGGAAATAGCACCCAAGATGCTGCCTATCAGAGAGCTTCTACGGTTCACGGTAGTTTCTTTCATCTGGGAGAGGATGAGAAGTAACACCAAAGATGGAAGCAGCAGCAGCAGCAGACCTGTTATTAATTTCAAGACTGGTGTGGACCATTTTTGCATTCACACCGGAGGAAAGGCGGTGATCGATGGGATAGGGCAGAGTCTGAATCTGACCGAGTACGATTTAGAGCCAGCAAGAATGACTCTCCATCGATTTGGGAATACTTCTGCTAGTAGCTTGTGGTATGTTTTGGGGTACATGGAGGCTAAAAAGAGGCTGAAGAAAGGTGATAGAGTTTTTATGATTAGCTTTGGAGCTGGATTTAAGTGTAACAGTTGTTTGTGGGAGGTGGTAAGAGATGTGGGTGGTGGAAATGCATGGGAAGACTGCATTAATAGCTATCCACCTAAAACCCTAACGAACCCTTTCTTGGAGATGTACGGGTGGCTCCAAAATGAGGATCCAGACACCTTTTACGTTCCTGAAGACTTTGTCATCCCATGACTCTTCTTTTGATCATTGTATTGTTAGCACTTCTCAATTATTTTCCTTTTCCTTTCTTAATTTTTTGCATGAATGTCAAACAAAAAGCTTTTACAGTTTTATTTTCATTTCCGGATTCTTTCTCATCAAATAGTACGTAGGAGATGTGGCTCCTTGTATTTGGGCAAGAAGCTTGCTATAATTCTTGCTTCATATTTTCTCGACTTGTATACAGTATATGTGGTACAAATATAGATATATAGCTTCCATTTTCTGCTGGAATGTAGTTCTTGGTATTATTGAAGAGGGAACCAGAGGATCATCATGTCCTTAGAGGCAAATAAAGCGACATGTTACTGATTATGGCTACCCCTTTAATTTGGTCGAATGTCAATTGTTGAGTGTAAATTGAACTGTTGTGGTCATGAACTTGTATCTGTCCAGTGCGGGCAATTAAGACATCGATCTAGAGAACTTTAATATGCCAACTATCCTTCCGTGTGCCGTGTTACTTGCACTTTGCACGCCCTCATAATAACAAGCTAAGAGTGCCATTTCTATTTTTTCCCTTGTTTGGTAAGCAAATTAATGCCTTGTTTACTTACTTGGACATTGATAAGGGGAAACATCTCCAGAAAACCATCAAAAAGATCAATATGTGAGTTAGGGACCCAACTCTGGCCTAAAAATTTGAGTTATTAGGTCTTGGGTTCGTTCTTACATATTAACCGCTTTTTCTCTATCTCTCGGATCAATGCGGGACATAACCCTTTACTCATGAACATAACAGATATGTCTTTCTTGAGCTGAAATTTTTTGTTATTCATGATTAATCTCTATTGTTTTCTTTTCTTTTTTTAATAAACTTTCCTGCCTATTAATTTCTTACATTTGCTAGCCAAGTGATAAAATACTTGTGCGCATGCTTCTAATCTTTGGCTAAAATTTAGCTTTCTTTTCCCTTTGGAAAGAATATACACATACATATAATTTTCGAAGCAAAGATCAATGCTCAAAGGCTTGAATTATAGGTTTTGCCAATTGATATATATACAACCATCACAGGTGAGCAAGACATGCAGGAACTCCAGTCTGCAACTTCTTCACATATTAGTATCTAAAAGCCACTTTAACTTAGGTCGCGGGTAATCAAGATTTTGCTCCGTGATTATATGTTTCTTCCATGGACTAGCTAGTGGCTCCAGTTAACACGGCACGGATTACTAGGCCATAGTATGAAGACAAGAAACAGAAAATTAAGGTAAAAGATTTCGAACTAAAAAAAAGTGTAAAAGGGGCTGAAGAACCGTAAAGGTGTAAATTGGCAGAGAATGGTAGGTTTGATCTCATAATGATTTTGTCGCGCTTCTAGCTGTAGGATTAATGTGAAACGTACCCCTCACGTGTCTTCACCACGTGATTTCTCACCAAAGCTAACAATAGAATGTGTCGAGAAAATATGTGTGTCCGGCGAAACATTATTATTATTTGTCTTGTTCATGTGATTTCACTAGTTCAAGATAACTAAAGCTGTGGTATTGTGACTTTCTCAGTTTCTCATAAGACCTATTCTTCTCGGCAGTGGCCCATGCAAACATGCAATGGTCCTCGCCAATTTTCATTGTATTTGGCACTCCACAATTCTCTTCATGTCTCAAAGCTCTAATATTAGAAGTAAAAATGCAATCAAGAAAAGCTAGCTCTTAATATAATTTGCTAAGCAATAAATAATATTGGTTGACAAGATTGAGTTTTTCTTGTAGGAAAAGCAAAATAAATGAGTAAAGCCTAGGTACTTAGGTTCGAATGGATGCAAAGAATGAATGCTAAAGAAATGTTGTACAGAAAATTAAACAAATCCATCTTAAGCAAAAGAAACAAAAGCACAAGGGTTTTTCTTATGAGTGCTTAATGATATTTGCTAATTATATTATACATTTAATCTATTATGTGAACGCACAAGTTGACAATTATTATCCTTCTGTACGTGCATTTGTACAAATTTTCTAATCAATAATTTAACATTTGAACTGTATAGACCGAAGTACGATTACGTGGGTTTTTTTTTTTCTTCTTTCCCTTTTATGTATTTTGAGCTTGTAAATACACGGAATACTTGTAGGCTGAAATGTGAGGCCATTGAACTTCAATTAATCGTTTGACTTGAGTGACCTGTTATGGATCTCCTTTCACAATCATTCCAACTGCGGAGTTGCAACTGAGGACCACAAAAAAAGACAAGAATCTTCCCATGATTAATGAAATTTGGAATTTTGACAAATTTAATCTGCGGTATTATAGAAGGAATTTTATTCCGAGCATTTTGTTATTTTCTTTTTTTCCATCTACCTTAAGCGCACATTGTTATGGGTTTTTTTGTTTTCATTTTCTTCTATTTCTAACTCAGACGCCAGAGCCAATTAATTTTTTCTTAAAATTAATGGATTTTTTATTGAATGGATTTTTTCGATAAAATCTATGTCAAACTTGTTCTTTAAATGTCTAAATAGTAAATACTCATTCATATCAACATAAGAATATTGAACAATTTCAGCAAATTCACCAAATCAAGAACTGAAATTCTCAAAAAAAAAAAAAAAAAGAAAGGTTATAGAACCATGCAAAGCAAACCTAGGCCTCAATAATTTGACAAACCAATAAGCTCCAAGTAGTCTCTCCAACAACTATTCTGATACAGAAGTAGCCAGGAACTAATTAACAGCAGAAGACATGCAGGGCCAGGCTGCAAAGATTTATAAGTTGAACTAAATGCTACTCTCAATAATCAAAAGTTGAACCAAAAACCGAGACCTGGCTGCTCATGCATCTCTTCCCCTAAAAACATTTGTTGTACTAAGTTATGAAGTCTCAGTGGTCCGGTACCATCAAGAGGCACATGTGACATTCAATAGGATTTTTTCCACTTACTCGACCTGGTGTACGTACACCACTCTCCCTCAAGATATGGAGAAGTTCATCTTCTGTGAAGTAAATTTTCTGTATTTGCTTTACGTACTCATCACCGGGAAATAAGAACCGACCATTTGTCCCTTCTTTTTCTTTTTTTTGTTTTGTTGTGGGTGTTTTTGTTGTTGTTGTGGGTGTTTTCGTTGGGGGGGGGGGGGGGGGTTGCTCAGTGCTGAAAGCAGGCCAAGAAAGGGCACTAGAATGATACTACTCTGCTATAGGACGCATCGTTTTGAGATTGGTAGCTAACAAATGTTTAACTGAACCTGGGAGTACTAGAAAAACATGATTCCAGGCTACAGATCGAAGCTGAACCTTCAGCGTATATTGCCAATCCCCATTCATGACATTCTTGGAGCCCGTTTGGATTGAATTTTTGTAGAAAAATATACTATATACTATAGCGATATTTAATGTATATGAAATATAAAAGCGATTCAAAAATATTTCATAGAAAAAGAAAAATTTTTTGGAGTCGAATGGCATTACAAAAAAGGCCTTAATTTTCTATATCAAGCTGAACAAATCGTGATCACCCATATCGATTTGAATCTAGGAAATTAGCCTACATTAATTGTTTATTAAACTTCAATTGATGAATCCAGCAACCCAAAAAAAAAAAATATTTACGAATCGACCTTGGAGTAGCTTTTTTCTCTTTTTTTTTTTTTGTGTGTGGGAGATTGTATTTGAGTATGGGTAGATGTTCACCATTTTTCAATTGCAGCTGTTTTAATTTGACTCATATTTGGATCGACCGGTCTATTTAAGTATGAGTAGATGTTCACTGTTTTTCAATTGCAACCGTTTTAATTTGACTGATATTTGGGTATCAAATACCCAATCAGCCAAATTGTGCCAAACCATCTTAACAAATGGTGTGACATAATTTGGGCTATTGGGTCTTTTACTTTTGGACTTTCAATTTTGGGTCGATATCAACCCGATCACGATCTCATGTTCTCCAGACATATCGATTCGGCTAAGTAACTTAGCCGTACATTAGTGTATCTCAAATTGGGCCACGAAATGGGCTTGCTTCGTGCAATCATCTATTAGTAAGCTTGCCTAATGCTCCATTTGGGATTAAATTTCCTTTAAAAAAAAAGAAAAGAAAACCATTCACAAATAGGAAAAGGATTGGCGTTAAATGGACGAAAAGTGCCAGTTATTAAGTCGCCGAGGAGGGAAAACAGAAGACGGTTGGTTAATTGAATTGGACGCCAATTCAGGACATCTTTGGACATTTTTCAGGTCTAACTTACTTTACAAAAAATTAGTCTCAGACAAGAATTTTTTTTGAAAAAAAATTGCATTTTTACACAATACCAATGAAAGCAAATATGGAAATCGGCAATCAAGATCAGCCTGCATTCAAGATTCTGCTCTCTTGTCCCACCGGTCTCTCTTCCTCCCAGGTTTCTTAATGCAAGAATCTAACATATTTTATGATATTATAATTCAATTTTCTGTAATTTTTCAATTTGACTGATTGGTAATTGAACTCTGAACTTGAAGGTGTCAGTTGATTTTGGTCAAGTGTATGATAGAATTCCTCATCCAGATGTCAATTTAGAGAACTCCATTTCTGAGGTCAGACTCTTATTTTTGCCTGTGGAGTTAAATAGTTTTGCATCGTATGTTAGCTGAAGTGTTTTCTTTCTTGAATCATACAAAATACGGCATATTGGTTCAATCAGCTCATATATGTCTGAACGTTGTTTTTTTTTTTGTTTTTCTGCTGTTTTGTTAGATATGGGATCAAAGAGTTCAAAAGAATGCTTCATTGTTCAATGGATTAAAGTTCAGGGTATGTCAGCAGTCTTGCTTTCTTCAAAGTCACCAATGAAGAAGCTTTCTATTCTTACTGAAATACTTGTTGTTTTTCATGTAGTATTTCCTCGTTTATGCAGGTTTTATGGCATTGTGATTTATAGTGGGCCTTTTAGTTTAAGATGTCTGAAAACAAACAAGTCTAGCTACTAATGAGAGACTTTGGTGGATCACGTTTTTTGCTAGTTGCAGGGACAATATGAGTTCTTTATGCAGTCTTTTTCTTGGCTTCACAATTGGATCGTGGAATCTTTTGGTTGATGAATCACAAGACTTGTGCTCTTTATGTTATTTTGAGTTGTTAAGTTTTTTGAGTTTGAATATATAGCATATACTTCTAGTGATATTTTGTGGTAGACTTAACAAATCGCTTAAGATACAAATGTAGAGGAAGCAAATTTGGACAATAATTTTAATACAACCTGAATTAGGAAAACTGTAGAGATGAAGCTCATAAAAAGTCCAGGAAGGTCTGCTTAGGTGATCATAAAATACAAACCATGAATCTGATGCATGTTAAAAACCATAGGACTTCGGCAGTGCTGAGGCAACTCCATTGATGCTTCTGG